TCAACGTTTAAACACTTTATCAGTGTATATCTACCAAATCTAAAAAAAAATCGTTCATCAATATCTTACATATTGAAATATGACCATCTATTAAAACGCAAATCGAAAATCTAAAAAAAAAAAAGAAATCAAGATGATTGAACAGGAAGTATCTATTTTTTCAAATGAGTTTAAATATTGCATTATGTCACAGAGAGCAAAATGAAAATATATATTCCACATGCTTTCTTTTCTATTATATACACTTTATAAATTTGCTGCGTCCGGAGAGCCTAACACTGCATTAACCTTTATTATGAACTATTCAAATCAAAAATTAATACAAATGAGGAATGTACATGTATAAATGATTGAACATACATGGAAATATATATGACCATACATGCACAAGAAATCAAAAAGAATGGACAAATCCACCACAAACAACATGAGACAATACACATGTTTCGTACAACATAAACAACTAATTAGAAAATAAATTTATTTACAAAATCTATAAAATAAATCGATATTTTTAATTCTAAAATTAATTGATAAATACTTGTTGCAATTACCATTAATACTATTTTACAGAAAAGAAATCTAATGACACATGCACGAAATCAAACGAATGTGGATGAAATTTTTTGTGTGAGGATGGAGAATGTCAATGTCCTATTGATTTATTTTGGAATGAAAGCAAATGCATATTTAGTAAGTACTAGTTTTTATTCTCCGAATAATCGATATGGCTTTTTCTCATTGTTGAAGGCCGTATGTTTGTTCATATTACTTACATCCACTACATGTGAGCTTTGGTGGATAGTTGTCTTATCGGTAATCATACCACATCACCTTATTTTTATATTGAAGTGAAAAAAAATGCTTACATGAATTTCTACTACTACATCGAGTAAGATATAACATTTTCCTCGCAAGACAACTCTTCTAATTTGAGTATAAAACGAAACACTTGCCAATATTGTTTAAAATTTACAATTTAGATTTCGAGGGTGGGAATATATGTATTCCTAAAGATTCAGTGGTGAAAAAGTCTTTTATGCTGATTATACACGAAATATAGGCAAACTGTTTACGTACATACATTGTATTCTTTTAACATCATGAAAAATTGTATTGGTGCCTTTAATTTAGATTAAGCTTCCAAACTTGATTATTCTTTATCTACTGCAAGATGTGTAAAGAACTGACAATGTTGCAAATTCTTCCATGGAAAAAAAGAACTAATATCTCATAGGTTGCATTGAGTAAAATAAAATCTCCTCACTCTTCCAATATTCTCTTTAACAATCATCAACCTGTAATTGAGACAATATCTTGTTACTTCAAACAAAATATTTGGATATACGTTGTCATTGTATGATTACAACATAAATATACAAGTCTTTCGGCATCCAATGCCGTCAAATTTTATATTTTTTTGTTAAAAACTGTATAATTCCTTTTGTGATAAATATCATTATTACTTGAAGTTGGAATAGACAGCACATTTTATATTGCAGAACATTTCGATGGACACTCTCTCTTGTAGTTATTCTATCGAATGTGCAGAATATCTTGAATGTAGGGAATCACTCTGTCAGTGTCCAGAATCAGAGTACTGGGATAACTCCAAATGTTCCTCAAGTGAGATATGCATTTTTATGTGTTCATGTTTACATTGCCTTATACCGGAATTTCATGTGCCAGCCCACACATATATTTTACTGAGACATCATGTCCCAATACGTTCATCTAACTCTAGAATTATCAAAAGGTGTAATGTAAAAATTATTAAATTGGTCTTTTCAAGAGATCATATTGTTTTTTTCTCACTTAAATGTCGGGTGTTTTATTAATTATATAAATATCATTACCGTATTTGTGTTTTTGTGACTTCTTTATATTTTAGATTACATAACTAACTATCGAGACAGTAGTATTCCAAAGACAATAAATCACATTAAGGGAGCGTTTTGTATTACTTTCATAATCATTTGAAAATTCAACACAGACGCCCTGAAAGGACACATTGTCTAAGGTTTCAACTCAATCAGGCAAAGTTAGATGGATTTGGCTTTTATGTTTAGGTCTTTTTTGTCATATTGTTGTCCAAACATTTTGTTTCTTATACATTTTAGTCTTTCAAACATTCGGCTTTGAGCGTTCCTGGTGAAGATAAATCCATAAAAGCGCTTCGGACGCATGAAATATGTAAAGTGTTTTAATTTTTTGTCGTGTATAAGTTTTTACGGACCAACTTAGAATCTTAATTTGAAATGGTAATTCATTTTTTTAAACCCTTTGTTGTTATCATTATAGTATTTTTCTCACCTATAAAAAACAAATAATTTACATTTAAAAGTACATAAAAACCTACAGTCATGTTTTAATTACTTTAACATAACTTCTACAGAAATATGTTTCAGGGAACATTTACGTGTGCTACAAAGACCAGTATTAAGTTTGAGTTATCATTCTTTTTCCTTCATAATATCAAACTTGTAGTCCTGCATTCTTGGATACGATTGTATTTAGATGTTGCATGCGCCAATTGAACAAGCCAATTATCATCCCTGCTTTTCTATTTTCTAAAACAAATCAAAAGGTGTTATAAAATACACGGGTAACTATAATAGTTAGTTTATGTGCTACACTGGAGATATAATAAATAAAATATATAAAAGGTTACACATACAATCTTTACCGACAGACAAGTTTTTAAATAATTTTACAAGAAACATGTATGACTGCTTTTAATTATCATTAAACCAGCGAAAATTATTGTTTTTTCTTTAATAATTGGGATTAACAAATAAAAAAACTATTAAAATAATTAAATAAAACATGCGATAATAATCATCGAAATTGTATTATGTTATATCCGCATCGATGTTCGCACAGTATTTGCAGTCATTGTGAATACATTACCCTTCTAAAATCGTTCTTATGCTTGTTATTTTGCGAACATGTTTACTAGTGTTACATCAGATGATGCATGTTTCTGTTTGTATCTAGCTTATGCAAAATGAACCTACCTTAATAATGATACCGATATCAAAACTGTTTTAGGAAAATCTGTAAACGATGCCTGTATGAAAGAGGGAGAACGTGGAAAAACTTTATACTGCGCTAGGAGTGTATGCCAGTGTGCGTCATCCGATTACTGGACTGGATCAAAAATGTTCTTTAAGTATGGATAATAGTAATTAATAGTATTGTCGAATATATTTTATGCTAGATTGGACAGTCTTACCATGCTTACTTAGGAATGCTTTTTTGAAACTCAGCTAAAACCAAATTTAAATACAAATTACGCTGTAATTCATCTCGTCTTATTTGAACTCTTTTCGAAAAAGAAGCAGAAAACTTTTAGAACCGAAGAAGCCAGACAGTACAGAGAGTTATTTGTTTAGTGCACTAGCCTAACCAAGTTTGGTTCTGCAATCCAACGTAGTTTATGCTTCCAATGTTTACATTTATTATTGCTAAATATATTTTCTATATATTATAGTCACGGTAACTATTTTTTATAAAGCACTACATCGTCAATGAAACCAAAAATGTTTGGTAGCAATGCGGAAGATGTTTATACTTTAACAGTGTTTAATTTCAAAGCTACATAAGGACACAAAGCAAAATTTGTTAAAAGATCATCATTTATAACTTTCTACGTCAGACGTTTGAATACTTTAAGAAAAGAATATGATGGCAAATTATTCACGAAATCCAAAATCAATATAAATTATTCAAATGGATATTTACAAATATCGAATAAATAAATCAGTACAGCTGACAAAATACAAAAAAAACAAAAAACAAAAAACAATTAACCTGTGTGTCAGTGAATTTTGCCCGACCCGGTATTAAATATTAACTATATATAAATAACAGTAATAACAATTTTAGCTAAGGACAAACTCCCTTTCAATGTAAAAACCTAGAGTCCGTTTATTTTCAAGTCGCGAACTTCATCGCTTTATGACTTAAAATATATAAGAATATAGGTAATACTTATTCACTAACAATATTAACATTGTATTAATTCTTTATCCAATATTTAACCCAATTCAGGTAGGGAGCTCAAAGTTTAACGTCCGAGCTCTGGGCAACGTAAATCACGCCCCGTTTCCCGCTATGCAAATTGTTTCGTGAAATTAATAGCCGTGAAAACAAAGTCAAACAATAATACCATCTTTAAGTTTCAACACAGGATATTACATTATCATGCATTTCAGAAATAATTATATACAACTTTACAACGAGCACATACATTTCAAAAATAAAAAGGCAAAAGATTAATATTTTCAAAGAACGATAACTACAGCGCAAGAGTTCAAGATGTGAATTGGCAGAATTTTCAACACGAACATGAAACTATGTAAATTGAGTAATAAATATCTCTTTAAAGTAAGTTTCAAGAATACACATAAGTTCCGCTTTATTTCGTTTATCATGTCAGTTGAAGAGAAAGCGATCAAACTAGTTCAAGTGATTAATATTGTGCAAATCACCCATAAATGAAAAGACTCACGTCAATTTTACAACAGCTTGATTTGTTTTTAGTTCAACGCAATTTTTAACGCCTTGGGCTAATAAATAAAAAAAAGAAATTGATCAATTTGCTATAAGCGGAGGAAGCGAAATAACCCGGAGAGATCGTCAACCTTTGGGTGAAAACTGGCAAATCCTGTCAATTACAATCGTTGTCGAACGCACCTAGCAACGAACGGTGTGTATATACGTGTGAGAAAAAAGTATAACAAAAATACCGAACTCCAAGGCAAATTGAAAAATGGAGAAGCTAACAAAATCAAACCCTATCAATCAACGGAACGAGTGAATACCGACTGCCATATTGCTGACTTGGTACATGAAATGACAGCAGGAATAACTTAAACGGATTTTACAGTAAACCCAAATTAGAATTTAAAAAAAAGAAAAACATCATGATTGTTAAAAAAGAAAGTAAGGAATTTTATCAAAAAATTAATTTACTTTATTTAATTGACGAATCAATGTTGAAGTGTACATAAAATAAATGTGAATTAATAAAGCGAATACGGAATGCAAAACAATAATGCTAACCAAAATGCAAAATCCCGTATCATAAATACGATATTGATAAACTGGGACGCTTTTGGGGCACTTTAATACACAGAAGATATAAATGTACTTGCGTTTTTGTATTATGTACTTTCAGAAAAAGACGAGAACGTCCTCTGCAATTCTTCACTTGAATGTCAAGCAACACTACAGTGCCGAACAAATCTCTGTGTTTGCTGTGAACGGGATTTTTGGAATGGACAGTTCTGTGAGAGAAGTAAGGGTTACAAATCTATACTAGTTAAAATAAAATCTCTGAAACTTTTATCTGAGCTGAATTAAGAACAATATTTCGTGGATGGAACATATATATTTAAAACAAGAAACTAATCCTGAAATCTAAAAAAAAAGATAAACTGGTTAGAAAAAAACACAAAAACGTAACATGACAATTTAAAATACAAAGAACATTATAGAACATAGAATGTACAACACAGTAGAAGATAAATTCCAGGTCAGAATAATTGTAAGAACATGTAATTTGAGATAAACATACATAGACCTGCATATGTCACAAAATAATAAGACTTTTTATGTTTAAACAAAAACGAAGTAATTTTCATTTGCATTTTGAAACACATATACTCTGTAACAGTATTTGGGATTTTAAACATGTTCAATCCAATAAAGGTAGTAATGATTAAACGTTAAACGCTATTCTTTTAAAATATAAACATGCATAGTCAACCCAATTTATTAAGAATCCACAGGAATCCACAAATTGTACAATTTTGACATGTGTATGCAATTCTAAGGGCATGATTTAGAAACATTCTTCTACTTGAATAGCAGGATTTTTATGAGTAATAATCATACTGTTCTTTAATCAATGCATCTAGTATTTTTGGATATAAGTGTCAATTCGGTTAATACTAGTTAGAAACTGTACTCTTTTTTTGGTCTTGTGTGTTTTTACTGTATGGTTTGTTTTTGGGCATTGCACAATATCTTGTCTTCACAAACTGTTCATGCAGTTACTGTTTGACATCTTCAAAGAAGTACAGTAGTCTATAATACGGAGGGACCTCATGATTTCATTACAGCAAATAATTTTCATTTCGGTGTTAGTTTTACCCCAACACAGATCAATGTGCCTCTCCTAAGTCAGGAATCTCTCAAAGTATAGATAGAAAAACTCTTTTCTCAACTATAACACATAAGTGTAAAGAAACCTATTACACACACATTGTTGTATGATACACATAAATTCGTGAACTACCGTTCTTCTCCTTAAAATAAAACCCCGCTATATTCTTAATTTGATCGTGTTATAATTTATTGGAAAAAAAATGTTATATTTGAATTTACAAATCAAGTACAGAATCCAGTTTTTTTTTATAATGAAAACAAAAAATGGGATTCAAAGCATTTTTCACATCCAAATATCACCTTTAAAGACAGTAAGACAAGCTTATGGCGTAGATTTAGAAGATTCGAACATTTAATGTAGTCATTCTAAATAATATATATAAGAAGATGTGGTGGGAGTGACAATGAGACAACTCTCCATCCAAGTCACAATGTATAAAAAGTTAACAATTATAGGCAAAAGTACGGCCTTCAACACAAAACCTTGGCTCACACCGAACAGCAAGGTTAAAAGGGCCCCAACATGACTAGTGGAAAACAATTCAAACAGGAAAACAAACGGTCTTATCTATATAAAAAATGAGAAACGAGAAACACCTATGAACCACATCAACAAACGGTAACCACTGAATAACAGGCTCCTGACTTGGGACAGGTGCATAAAAATGCAGCAGGTTTAAACATTTTAACAGGCGGCAACCTTCATCCTAACACAAGACAGTAGTGTAACATTACAACATTAAAAGACAAACTATAAAATATATATTGAAATGGCTTAACTCAATCAATAAGACATTTAAACAAAAACAAGTAAACATACACTGAGCGAATAAGTTTGATATATGACAAAAGATAAATACAATATTAAAACGTAGGTGCCTATATAACATAGACGTTACAGTGATAAAACAACGTACACAGGTAAAGTTAAATATAATAATTTTGTTGTTAGGAGTATGGAAGTAACATTTTTTACAAAATACATTTGTTGCTCAGAGTACGAGTACAGAAGTGTAAATTTATCGTCATACTCAATACTTATCAAGGGTGGAACATATTAAAAATAGTGAGACGAGATATAACACAAAATAAGTAAAAATTGAAATACAGAAATGCATTACAAATTGTGTCAACAGGTAAAATTAACACGAAAGTACTATTTGAGAGTAGTCGCAGTTACTGAAAGCTAGTTAAAAGCCAAAAAAACAATTAACAATAAAAAATCATTCATCAGAGACTAAAATCAATTAAAACACATCCCAGGGATTTAGTGTTTCAACGCCATGGACAGTCAAAGAAGACATGAATTGTGCAATGCAAAAATAAAAGTATCGCAAGGCAGTAGGAGCGATAGAATTTAAATTTATAATACATATGTATCATGTTTTATATAGATAAAGCAATCTCTAAATAGAAAATTAACGTTGATGTGTATTTATACATCCCACAAACCATTCGAAAAAAATACAAATTTAGTTATTTTTTAATTTGTTGATGACAAAATCGATGTTCAAAGCTTTGTTTATTTGCAATAACATTATAGTCGTGATTGGAAGCTTGAGGAATCACAACTTAGGACTTCTCGAAAGGGCCTCAAACCCGTTAGCTCAAATGTAAAGCGCAGAATTTATATTTAAAAAAAACAGATAAATGATTTGATTAGTTACATTTTACGTCCTAAAATGATACTGCGATAAAATTCTGAACTGTAACGTAGAGAACATGATCACAAAATCATTTGTTTTATTACAGAGGGTCAGTATGTTTTAAAAATAATTTTTTGTTTTCTTAAGGTTAATTTTCTGAGATAGGATGTCCAATTCTATTTTAACATTCTCTTTATGTATCAGCAGTTTACATCTTATAATGCATTTGAATTCTGATACAGTTTATTTTCTGAAGTTCACGACCACAATTAAACACATTTTAAAGGAACCCATAAAACTCTGATAACGTTGCTTTCGCTCATTAATTGCAGAATACATGTCAGGATTAAGTAAGTAAAGAAGGATAATAAATCCAATGTTCATACATATTGTTTACTAATGTAATCTATTTTTAACACGACAAAAGTCAAGAGGAGAAAAGAGTTGACAAGAAGAGGGAAAGATGCAACAATGTGAAATTATGTGCCTCATCCAATGTCCTGTTTGAGATTGTTAAGGGCTCATCTGAATTATTTGATTCCTTTTTAGAAAGAAATATGACTTCACAATGCCACGAATCTTTCCAATGCCAAGACACACTACATTGTATTAGAGGGACCTGCCAGTGTGATGTCACTGAATATTGGACACAATCAGCATGTGCAAAAAGTATTGTATCGTGGCATATCAACTGTTCATTATTGTTGAAACTACATTTTAAACATATATACATGATAAAGTTGTACTGACTTTTGTTTAGATCATTCTTCCAGCAGAAACAAGCACAAAATTAACAAACTAAAAGCAGATTATTGGAAAAAAACTGTTTTGTTATATATAAAAGACACATAATGCTGAAACAAAATTAAGATGCATTTAACGCTTCGGGATCGCATGTACACTACAAGATAATAAGAAATATCAATACAATATAAAAAAAGGAGCTTACCACATGGAATTTCATGTAAAGCTTAATAATGTTCAATATAAGAAATCAAGTGCAAAGTATTTTATAACCAAACTCAAATCCACGAAACATAATGAAAATGACAGTAAATGCACAAATAAAGAAGCATTAATAGTTTTACAGGCACATGATTTGTGTAATTTCTATTTTACCTAATAAAAGCCAAGAAAGTGTTAATCTCTTATGTCTAAAATACGATGGAGAGTTACATATCAGTTATAGAACTGCATCGAAACAATCGTGTACAATTAAAAACCTGTTTTTACTTTTCCTTACTCTGTGACTGTTTAAAAGCAAACAGTACGATCCGTTATATGTTGTATATAAAGTGTTCACATTTATCACTTTATTTTGTATTATATCTGAGCATTAACATACACACATGATACATGAATCATAAATTCATATTTCAATTTTCACAGATATTTGCGCTAACGAACAGTGTTGGAATGGAGGCAAATGTCAGATTTTGAAAAACAGACATAATTGTGTATGTGCTGACGGCTATCTCGGTGACAAATGTCAGTATGCAGGTAATACTAATAACGTACTCAGTATCATTCGAAAGTAAAACACTATTCTATAACAGTTAAATCTTGTTGTCGAAATTTGAAAGTTTTTTTTTATTTAAAAATCCCAGTGTATTCAAGTTAAATCACTAATTGGAGCTGCTGTGTTAAGATACCTCTTTATGTCTTGGGTATCGGTGGCTCATCGGTCTAAGAAGGTCATCTACAGAATCAATAGCCTTTCAAAACTGAGGTTTTCAGATCGAACCCCGCAAGACGTGGTGGGTGTGTTTGATACCAAAGATTGCCAGTTTTCTTGCTGAAGATCGGTGATTTTCGTTTTGATATAGCCAACAGTGCTGAAAGCGAAGTTAAACACATACAAACCATTAATCAATCTTTATCACCGGGTTACACATGTGGAGTTGGATCTGCTTACCTTTTCATAGCACTTCAGATCAACCCCAATTTGGATTGGTACGTATCGCCTAGTCTTTTGTTCTCTTTGGTGTGATTTGTATACTGTTTCTTGTCCTTGTGTCTTTTTTCTTTTTCTTTTTTTTTTTTTTGGTCATGGCGTTGCCAGTTTATTTTCGATTGATGAGTTTAATACTTTTGGTATCCTTTGCCCTTCTTTTCTTTTTTTCTCTTATTTCTTATAATTTCACACCTCAATTATGAAAGGGATATTGGATCGTAATTACTCTACAATCATGTAACACTAGTCAGCCGTCTATCATAACATAAATTAAGGTGATATGAATAAATATTAAAGTGATTTTATCGATACCATTTTACTCCCCTTAATAGTTTTATACTTACTTTCCAACAAGTATTTCCGTAACTCTTTTCTCATGTCATACTGAACAGACTTACTTGATGTCAGCAACTTGACAGTGATGAGTTGGAACGTGTAATAAAGTTTTTAGAAGATTGAATGACTAAAAATCCCAACCTGAACATCCAATTGTCTCCAAAACAAACAGAGCTATAAATGTACTAGTTCCAAAGATCTTATCTCAATTTACCATAAATTTCAAAGCCACCTTTTTGAGTTTTTTTTTACTTTTAATTGTTTTTAATTTGAGCCTTACTGTTGATACTTATGTAAACGATTTCTCACTTACTAAATGATGTGCCAGGTACTTGCAGTACTTTCAACCGCAGGCGTTACTATTTTAGCGATCAATCAGCGGTCATCGATCAGTTTCCGATCAGTCAAGTTCGTGTCAAACTCCCGCCACCAATCCGTCAGACGTATAGTAAAAATTTTTGACTGATCGGACGGATCGTACAGATCGGACAGATTGACCTTCCTGACGGATTGAACTCTACTACATCACATGTTGAACTCATACAAATTACGGAATCTTAGTTTTGTTTAGTTTCTTTTAATAAAAAATGGTTCCACGAAAATTACGTATTGTTTAGAAGCTCGACATTTTATTATAAATCATTCAGCAAAGTTTTAAGAATAAAAAGAAAAGAGAAATATGCAGATAAAACTAGATTTGAATATTATTAAAGAATTGTGATAGTTGTTTATATTTGGGTTATTTTTGTCAAACCTGATGAGTGCTAAAACGGTGTTTATCGCGACTGTTAAATATTTCTTCCAGAAGTGCTCTGAAAAATGAAATGAAATGATCATTTATTGCAAATTTTGGTGCATTATTTTTAATATAATAAAAAAATATGCAAGTGGAAGACTCGAAAACATTGCCAAAAAAAAATATAAAGTATATTTTCCCTCAGAATTCATTATATTATGGAAACAACCCAAAACAAATAATTATATACTAATGATATTTTTTGTGTAATTTAATCTTATTGAAATAAAAAAAAATCTTGCAGTCTTATTCAACACAAAGAAGAGTTTAAATATCTTAATAATCCCTAGATTTTTCAAATTTTATAAAAAGTAACCTATCCAAAAGCAATTTAAGTAACTGATTGCTTACAACAGTGCATGAAACCATCGAAAAAAAGAAATAATTGCATTCTTATTCAACACAAACAAAAGTTTAAGTATCTTTATCCTTTTATCATTCAAATCGTATAAAAAAATAATTATCTAAAGCTATTTATAATGACTGATTGCAAATGATGCTGCATTATTTCTGATATAAAAGAAAAACATAGTTGCATTTTTAAGCAATGTGAACAACATTTTAGTATCTTTCCCTGAAATTCAGCATATTTGATGAAAAACAACTAATCCTGATGTGTAAAAAGTACTAAAATCAAATGGTCATTCATAATTCTATTAACATAAAGTAATTATTTCATTCTTATCCAACACAAACGTTTTAGTATTTTTCTCCTTATATTATTGAAATTCTTTTTAAAATAATTTATAAGAAGGCCTTTGAAATAAATAATTACAAATAACATTGCATCATTTTTGATAAAAAGATGAAATATTGGTAATTTTAAACAATGCGAACAAAATTTTAGTATCTTTCCTCTGATATTCTTCTAATTCTATGAAAAACAACCGATCCTGATGTACAAGGGTTTTACAAATCCAATGGCGGTTCATGATTTCTATTAAAATAAAGAAATGATTGAATTTCATTCAACACAAACAAAAGATTTAGTATCTTTATTCTTATAAATGATAACATTTTATCGCTTTTCAGTGATACAGAAACATTAGTGATACAGAAACTTTCTGAGCATGACATTATTCTGCACTTATTTATTTTATTTGGCAAAAAAATAAGAAAAACCAATTATGAAAAAATACTTGTAATGCGTGAAAATAACTTATACATTTTTGTATGTGTTATTGCAACAAAGTTGATAACAAATTAACGAGTAAATGTGTCTTCGTAGAAGTCCGCGTTTATCACATGTAAATATTGTGGTATTCGTTTTACATAAGAATTTTAATTATATACGTATCCGTCCGATCCGTGCATATAATTCATTTACTGATCGATCGCTGAACGTTGTCACGGTAGCTCTCACATAGCTGAATTGAAGTATGTGACGGATTCAATTGGTCATCCATCACCGATCATTCATCGATCAGTCAAACATCCATCACCGATAATTCACCGATCACCCAAGTTCCCGTCAAACAGTAACGCCTAAGGTTGCAAGTACTGACTGCTTTCAGAATAGGCAAATAAACGCAACAGTAGTATACCGCTGTTCAAGGGTCATAAATCGATTAAGCAAAAACAAATCCGGTTCATAAACCAAAACCGAGGGAAACACATCAACTATTAGAGGAAAACAATGGATCAACAGAAACACTGAATTGCTACAAAAACAAACGGCAACATACATAGAAATTGACTATTTGATAACATCTGCCATATTCCTGACTTGGTACAAAACATTTTAAGAAAAAATGGTGGGTTGAACCTGGTTTTGTTGCTAGCAAAACCTCCCACTTACATCATGTATATGCAATGTTAAAAATACCGCTAAATTGACAACATTACGTGACAGGAATACAGTACCAAAAAAACCGCAAGAACACTCAGGACACAGAAATACATAAACAAATAATTTTTTAGTACATTACAACATGTAACCCACAGAATAACAACGGACACATCCCATGAATCTACGACAAAACACCAGCACACCAGGACACCACAATAGAATTATAAACTGTGCGTCACACGAAGGTATCAACGCAACAAAAAGTGACGTAATTTTTGTTACGTTTATTTTATCACAGGTAAATCTCTAAAAATAGAACATAAATTGGAATTGCGTTTGTATGGTGTTATTTTATGTATTTTTTAACCATGACAAGTTAACCAATCAAATTTCCAAAACAGTATTTACCGTTGTTTTTATATGTGCCTATAACATTTGTCAATTAAACCCGATTACATATATTTTAGGTTATTGTTTCTTAATAAATGTTACTGTGCGTTACTGAACTGGTCGAGATTAACGGAGAAAGAGTTGTTAAATTAAAAATCCATCACTTGTTGAACTATCTTACTAGAGTCATGTACCTAGTTACAGATTGTCAGCCATTATATCTATATTATTTTGTTTTATCATACATATTGTGATACGAATATAATCACAAATTGTTGATAGTTTCTCTTACATTTGTTCATAGCGTTCATTTGTATTACTGTCTCAAGATTAGACAACTTGTATTTTTCAAAACTTATTGTAGATGGACGAGAGAAGGATTTTATGGTGATATTTCATGACACACCCCGAACACCATCACCACGAATACTTCCAGCAATTAACAGAAAGGCGGAATTATCTATTTTCTATTTCTCAAATAATAAAAATGTTTCGGTAACTTCAAATTTAGTCGATAATCATTATATACTCGATTCCAATGTATTGATGACAAATGGTTTACATCAGGCCGGTGTAGAAATACATTCCAATGTGCCGATCACCCTGTATGGATTCTTATTTGTTCGTCAATATTCCGAAGGATTCTTTGTTCTACCAGCTCGATTTGCATCTACAGAATATTTAATTCCTTCGTTCACTCCTTGTAGCAGCAGTCATAGAAGCGTTTTTTCATTATCTTCGTTGTATTCAAACACAGTTATAAGAATACACTTTAAAATAAAGGATGGGACGATTGAATATGCCAATATACAATATTCTAACAATCAAACATTAACATTGGTACTTAATAAGTATACAGCATTTCAAATATCGCACATAACAGACTTGACAGGAACAAGAATCATTGCATCTCAGCCAATTGTTGTGGTCAGTGGTAATAAATACAACAGAATAAATGAGTTAGGAAGCCATCAGCCATTTATTGAAATGGTATTACCTTCAAATCAACTAGATAATGTTTATGTCATTCCATATCTAAATTATCGACCGGAAAATACAGTTCGGGTGCTTGCTGTAAATGATACAAGCGTAGTGGTTAAAACTGGAAACACTCGCTCTAGAAAAGTACTGAAATCTAGAGACTTTATGGATTATTCTCATACAACTATCTCATATGTTTCGTCTGAAAGAGGTGTAATGGTACATATTTACCCGCACGAGATATCAGATAGTCATGGAGATGCCTTTATGATGACGATTCCCGGTATTAACCAGTATTTGTACGATTATGATTTCATGGTACCAACAGATTTTCAAAGTTTTATTAGCATTTCTGTTCCAACAAACGCCGTCGATGGATTTGTACTAAACGGTAATTTCGTAAACTTGCAAAATATATTCAGTATTTCTGAAGAGGAACATCATTTCAGTAGTTTTAGCATCCCAATATCTAGTGGACAACATCATATCACCCACAGAGAAAAGACACGGTTTGGATTGTGGGTATACGGAAATTACACCAGCCGGGATGCGTACGGATATCCAGCCGGGATGGCTTTTAAAACATAAAAGCTATCTCTAGATACTACAATTATGAATTATTTTGTATAAATAGATTGTAACATACTACAGTTTGAGCTTTTGACATTACAAACTAAAATGAGAAAAAAACAATAGAATCAATAAGATAATACAATTGTATCCGGGGTGTTTATTTAGACATCTATGGAAAATATATTTTACCTAGGATTACTCTTAGACTTACTAATACAGATGACGGTAACAAGATGGTCATTAAACAATATAAAGAAACAAATAAACAAGTACATAGTAAAACCAAAATATTGTAAGTTGTGCCGATCTGGCCATTGTGTTTGAGTGTGCAGGTTCTCTGTTATCGTTCATATTTACCATTTACTTTTGGCGTCTTTATTGTGCCATATTAGTAACCACGTCGCTTCAAGTTTCATAATATTGTATAGAAATACTAAATAGAAAAAGAATGCTGCATTGAAACACCCAAGATATTTGTTTATGACTCAAAAAGTTTATCTGCAATTAAATGCAGGGTCAATTTTCTACAATTGTCAAATTCACGGGAATTTTTTTCGTATGAAACCGGATGTAACGGTCTCTGTTTGCGTGCTATTTATACACCTGAAGAGGACATTTTTTTTTTCTTCCTTTGAAATACTGGTTTTTGCAAGTATAACTATCGAGTTTTGTCATAATCACTCAAAAGTTTGAGAAAAATATGTTAAATGTAAGACGACATATACATCGATTTGAGGTTAATTTCTTCTAAAAATCAAAATCAAGCCGCATTATGATAGAAAATGATGTGGACCCATAAATGCATTCCATCTGAATAAAAACAGTTGAATGATAAACAAATAATAGGCTTTAATAGTAAACAACACTAATGTATCTCTTTGTCTTCATTATCAGGTCCCTTTTGGTTCCATTATACCTCTCATTCTCTCAATATTAAAATTTGTAGGCTTATAAATCAAAATTTTTAGATAACTATCACACAAGAATTGTGATAATAAAAGGGTCTTTAAAATGTTCAAGCTGAATGGACTATCTATATAAAAGTTTACTGACTCCATGGACTTACGTAAAACGTTAGTGTAAGCCTCGTCTCAGAGAGGGACATAAAATGGTTCCCGTTTAGTGAATAATTTGTTGTTACTGCTTCAAAAATCATTACAACTACTTACTACTGTATATTTCTTAAAGTATTACTTAGGAAGTTTTTCTTGTATAGTCCAGTATAGGAAGTGAGGAGAAAATGTCAGAAAGGCTTTCCAAAACACTGAGTATGGCTTGCTCTGCTTACTAATATCTATTTTACCTCAATCGCGTATTTGAGTCTCTATCCACTTAAAGTATGTAATGCATGGAATATTCAGAAAAATAGCATGACTTTAAAAAACAGATAAAAAATGAGAGGATATACAAGGTCACAAATGCAACTGCAGCTTCCCTAAATACGAGTAATACCACCATTGTTATTCACCTATTAGTCGTTGTTAGATTGACATTTAATTAAATGAGCAGAATTTATCTTTGTTTCAGATAAGATCTACTGGGCAAGAGTAAAGTTTTATCCTAGCCATTACAATAGTGAGCATTGCTCGTCATCTTTCATTACATGTAAGATAGCAACCATCACTGGAAGTAAACCAATCAAATTGTCACCCATTTTCCTGTAAACAGGCTTAAACAGTAGTTTGTCCATTTCTAGATTTAGACATTTCAATTTCGAAAGGGAAACTCCGTACTAAAAAATTACGACAAAACAGACTTTTCTCATTCCCTATTCTTAATTTTCCTTTTTTAGACGTTGATGTTCCTTTGGCTCAATCATACGGTGTAGATTTTAACGAACGTAATCAATGCATTACTGGTAAATTATTAAGTCCGGGATTTCGTTACCATCAATTACTTAAAACTTACTAAATTCTCTCATAGATACAAAGTTTTGATTAGTAAATTTGGCTGTACCTGTAGAAAAATTACTAAAAACGGTATTCTAAATCCTAAATTTTACGGCAATATTGTACTAAAAGCGCGGACATCACTATATGATCCGTGTTAACTCATCGAACCCTCAAACAAACTTACTAGTAAAGGTTATCTTATTAGTAAAGGTTATTACCAGTGTCTGAGCAGAAAGTTGATTAACCAGTGTTATGTCAAAGAACGTCTCGTCCTTTTTCTACAAAAGTTCATCGAAAGGTACCAAGACCTTGTTGATAAATATTCCGTATCAACTTCTCAAATAATACATGATGGTCTTGATGTATAGATTCTAGGTATCATCTTAATTACGTGTTATAGTGTTCTTTTATTTGTCTTTGTAAATTATTAACGTTTACTCTTTGGTCCATTTTTGGTAATATCCTTTAGGCGTGGCTCGGTACTTGTCCATCCAGCCATTGTGTTGTTGTGCTATGGTCATTTTTTTGTATTCCTGTGTTTCATTTTTGCGTATGTGCTTTGTCTATATGCTATTTTGTTTTTCTTTGTTGACATATTTGTTTGTTTTATAGGGATTGAGATTATAACACAATGTTGACTGCTGTACCCCTAATTTTGACAGTTTTACCTATTATGTCTGTTTGTTTGTTCACACATTGTTGTCAATATAATGGAATTTTATCCGACTGTCATACAAGTAAGAGGTTTAGCTAGCTTTGAAACCAGGTTTAATCCACCATTTTCTACATAAGGAAATGCCTGTACCAAGTCAGGGATATGACAGTTGTTTTCCATTCGTTTCATGTGTTTGAGCTTTTGATTTTGCCAATTGTTAAGGGACTTTCTGTTTTGAATTTTCCTTGGAGTTCGGTATTTTTGTTGTTTTACTTTTTATTAATGTTGTAATAACATGAATGAGATCTTTGTATATTGTTTACATTGGCACAAATATCGACTTTGTCGTCAACAATTAAAACATAACTAAATTTGTATTCTTTTCGAATGTTTTTTTGGGATGTATAAATACACATCCACGTTTATTTTCTATATAGAGATTGCTTTATCTATATTATATACATGTAACATGATACATATTTATTTAAAGGTTAAATCCTAAAGCTGTGGTCACACCTTACCGGATAGCTCGAACAGATGCCGAACGGATGAAAAAAAAAGTTTGCCGTTGACAAAATTTGTATTTGTTGGGTGTCCGTTGGTATACTGATCAAATAAAACGAACCGGGTAAAGAATGCCTAACGGACACTCACAGGATATGCAACGTACGAGAAACTGAAACGTACCGGACAGAACGGACGTCGAACGTACATCCAACGGACGAGTACCGCATAAAACGGACACCTAACGGAAGCGTATCGGATAAAACGGATGAACAAGATAAGCGGAAAATTAAAAGCGGTAATAATAATACATATCTTTCAGGACTAAGTAATGATCTTGCCCACCATCTCATTTGTTTTCTCCTTCTTCTCGTTTCGACAACTAGTAGGTTTATATTTGCAACATTTAAGTTCAGTCGGACCTGAATAAGAGCTGCTTGATAGTGAAGACATGCCTTTACTCCAAGATCCATCATGAGTAATAGACGTTCATGACACTCAAGAAATCTGACATATCAATAATTGTCATTTTTGAGTGACGCGAAATTTTCAATTGGCATTTATCCGTTATCCTTCCATTCATGTCCATTTCCCATCCGTTCATCATCCGTTTTATCCGTTATACGTCCGGTAGAAGTCCGTTGGTGCATTTGTCTACCGGACTTCTAACAGATGCATAACGGACAAGGAACGGATACAAAACGGAAACGAAACGGACGAGTACCGTACAAAACGGACGCCTACCGGACGTTCAACGGACATTTCATCCGTTGGACGTCCATTCAAAGTTTTGAACATGCTCAAAATTTCCACCGGACAGAACGGACGTCGACGGATAAAACGGACGCTGCACGGACATGAAACGGATATGGACGGACGTATAATGGATAAGAACGGACGTCTAACGGACATGAACGGATTGAAAAAAAGTTATCCGTTCGGCATCCGTTCGAGCTATCCGTTAAGGTGTGACCGAGGCTTAACTATCCTACTGCCTGTCGATACTTTTATTTTTGCATTGCACAAGTCATGTCTTCTTTGACTGACCATGGCGTTAAAAGGTATAGAACCACTAATTCGGACCCGGTCAGAAAGAATATACAAGAAAGTAGTACATATTTTAAACAAATACTTCCTACGCATAGCTGTATCTTTGTCAATAGGTAAAATACTTGGGTAGTTTTGGTATCAAATGAAAGATTGCGGACGTGGGATCACTGTAGAACCCTTGTTGAAAGTTTCTATTAAATAATAAAAAGTATATAGAACTATAATAGAAGGGTACATTTGCCCTGTTGTTTAGATCAGAAGTACCTGTTTTTGTACTATCATACTTCCGGAAACCAGTACGCTCTACTATGCAATTAAAGGTATGTTGAATGTTTCAGCAAAAGTCAAGATAAGGTATAGTTTTGACATGAAATGACTGCCACTTTATTTGAGATTCAGACAAAGTAGCCATTAATGCTTGGAATTGCAGAATTTAACATAGAAAGCAATGGGGCTAAGAATTAGTGGTTTATTACTTTTTACTGAAAGGCATGTGAAATTCCAATTTTAGAAATCATACCCACTACAATGAAAATTGATCACATTTATTGCTAGTAATCATGTTACATTAATTATTTTATTTAACAATTATGTTGGTGTCAAATTACAGCCCTATGCATACGGTTAAGACTTTACCTGAAGTTTAGATTTTTGCATTATCTAAAACTGAAACCAATGAAACATGTATATTTTGGCTGGTTTATAGTATAAATACAGCTTTTGGTCAAATTATCTAGTGCGTTTTTGTGTTTTATTGGGTTTCTTAGTGTATCATTTATTTCAAAGAAAATTGGTGTATACTTATATAGGAATTTCAAAATCTCACTTGAAATGCAGTTTATAACCAGTTCAACAAGTTGTCTAGCTGGGAGATATATCAATTGCTCTTGTTGGTCCATGTTTTTACATAAAAGTATGGTTTTACCAAATAACTTTACTTTTTCACCATGTAGAAAAAAGTGGGGACAAAATTGTCAATTATATTTTATGTTTGGACCACTATACGTATATTTAATAAACAATCTCTGATAAAAATAAGACATATAAGTAAGAACCTTGTTATTTGAGTAGTTATTAACAAATAAGAACTGGTA